CTAATACTCCTGTGGTCCCGCCAGAGGTTTGAGAATTTCTGATGTCGGAGAAGTTAGACCCTATGGCCCTGCAGCAAGATGTGGTAGGAGGAATGTGGAGCAGGGCGAGGGAAGGGGTTGGGGATTGGGATTGCTGCTGGTCCCCCTTTCGTTGCTCGCCTTGCTCGCCGCCGCCGCGTCGTTCCGTTCTCCGCTTCCATCCCGCATCTTGCGCTCCAACCTGACTCCTGATTGCCTGGAATCCCAGACGCAACGGGGCGTCTGGATAGTATGTCCAAGTACGCCGCCCTGTCCATTCGCATGCCAACCGGCCCCCCCCTGCCCTAGAGCTTCGGAAATGACCGACGGAACCGAGGGTCAGGGAGTGGGGGTGGTTGGGTGTCGCATCCAGGATTGACCACCCACCCACTTCAAAACCTCAGAAAGTTCAGGCCGTCTCCTTCCTCCCTCCTCGCCCCGTGCTCCTCGTCTTCGATATGGGGCTTGGTATGGGGGGGGGCTTTGGAGTCGGGGGAGGGGGGGGGAGATTTACCACAAGAGGCTTCTCTACAAGAAGCGCAGAACCCAGAGGCTCCGCATGCGCCTTCCTTTCCCGAGGTGCATGCCCAGTTGCACTGCGACAGGAGATTTCAATCCTTGCCTGTTTGCGTTTTTGGCACGATTCCTCCTCTCCCCAATCACGGCTCCTCCCTCGCTTGGGTACAGAGTTGTGAGGTACAACTCGCCGTTGCGATGCCTAACAACGAGACTGGGACGGCTCGAACGGCGCAATTTGACATCTGCTGCGGCACTTCTTTGTTCTCGGAACGATCGCCCCCTCCTCTGTTTTACTATCCTTTCTTCCTCTTTTCTCCCCCCTAGGCTCTCGCAGGGCACGCAATCTTACACCTCCCCCATGCGGTCTCTGGGAGACTGCAGCGTCTCCCCAGGCATGGCCTCTGCACGGTCCCGCCTCCCCAGGCGCCCCTGCGCCATGTCTTCTGGTGCAGGCAGGCTCAAGCAGCCAGTGCTCCGCCGTCCTAGCTTTTAAGAGTCACATCCGTGCTTAACTAGGAGATCGGGATGGCAGGCTAGCGCTCATTCTGAAGCGATCGGGCTTCCATCCAGTGCCTTTGATTGTCCATTTCCTCTCCCCTCTCCCTTTTGGTCATGTATCTCGGTTTGGTCTCCCGTTACCTTATCCTCTCTTTCGCGGCTTGTGCGGACTGGACTGGCTTGCTTGAGGGCCCTTGCTTAACGCTTTTCGCTGCCTGCCAAATGGTAGAACGATGCCAGGTGCGGCCGCCAGGAACTGTGTGGCCTACGCTGCTTTTGAGCGCCTTTCCCTTGCTCTTATAGGCTGATTGGCCAGCCACTATTGCCCCAGCTCCGGAAGGCGACCAAGCAGTGGCCCAGACATCGGCAGCGTCTGTGTGTGGCACTTTCCGCGCTTGCTTTGCGCACCGACGGCGTGCAATTGGTGTAAAGCCAGGCTGAGCTCCCCCCCAAAAAGTCCGTGCTCCTCGCTCTCCATTCCCCCGTCAAAATCGGTTCCAGACTTCTTGGATTACAACTTTGGCCAGTCACGCTGCGCGTGCACGCTGTTTTTTCGAGCCAGTTCTGCACGCTCGTACTTTCCTTTCGGTCAGATGGCGGCGACCAAGAAGGTACCGTTGACCAGAAGCTCAATGGCGCTGAGTGTCCAGGGGTCCGTGGCTATTCCATTAGATGGTGTCAGAGCATCCTATCGCGAAAGCCTCCAACTCAGCGCGTCGCGAACTCCAACGCGGTGTCATCAGTTCTCGGGTCATACACATTGGCCCAGCGCAGACACGTCTTGCATCAACGCAGCAGATGTCGACTATTGGCGGGCGTGCCCAGCGCAGAGGCCTCCCACGATCCCACCAGGCGTATTTTTTGTTCCACAGCCTGTACGTGGCGAGCAAGCGATGGACGCTGTTAGGGAAGCGAGGCTCGCCCTTTGATACCACCGACGGATGGAAGGACGTCAGGCAACATTGGACATCCGTTTGTGGGAGTTCGGCGACGCCCTCGCCAATGCCCTGCCCGCCGCCGTACCAGACGCCAGACCCGACCCCGTATCCGACGCCGAGCCCGACGTCGTACCCGACGCCGGACCCGACGCCGCACCCGACGCCGCAGTTGACGCCGTACCCGACGCCGCAGTCGACGCCAAATTTGACGCCGAACCTGACGCAGCACCCATCGCCGAACCCGACGCCGTACACGACGCCGCATTCGGCGCCCAACCCGACGCCGAGCCCGACGCCGAACCTGACGCCGAACCCGACGCCGTGCCCGACGCCGTGCCCGACGCCGTGCCCGAACCCGAACCCCCCGCCGAACCCGACGCCGAATCCGACGCCGAACCGCCATACCCGACGCCGTACCCGACGGCCTTCCCGACGCCGTATCCGACGGCCTTCTCCACGCCGTACCCCACGGGCTTCCTGACGCCCTTCCCGACACCCCTCTCGACGCCGTAACCGACGGCTTTCTCCACGCCGTGCTCGACGGTCCGACGCCTTGCCCGACGGCCTTCCCGATGGCCTTCCCGACACCATCGCATTTGACGTTCACAGGCGCACGTTCAGTGGCCTCCTGGACATGAATGTGTATTGGAAAGGCCTGACGGCCGGTGCCGCCGACCCTGATCGAAGGGGCTAGGAGGGGGAGGAGGAAGCGAAGGAGGAGGAGGAGGAGGAGGAGGAGGAGGAGGAGGTGGAGGAGGAGGAGGAGGACAGGGACGAGCACGAGGACGAGGAGGAGGGGGAGGAGGGAGGAGGAGGAGGAGGAGGAGGAGGAGGAGGAGGAGGAGGTACAAGGTGAGGACGAGAAAGGAGGAGGAGGTGGAGGAGGTGAGAAGGAGCAGGAGTAGGAGAAGAGACAAGGATGATGATGATGATGATGATGATGATGATGATGATGATGATGATGATGATGATGATGATGATGATGATGATGATGATGATGATGATGATGATGATGATGATGATGATGATGATGCTGCTGATGATGCTGATGATGCTGATGATGCTGATGATGCTGATGATGATGATGATGATGATGATGATGATGATGATGATGAGATGATGATGATGATGATGATGATGATGATGATGATGATGATGATGATGATGATGATGATGATGATGATGATGATGATGATGATGATGATGATGATGATGATGATGATGATGATGATATGATGATGATGATGATGATGATGATGATGATGATGATGATGATGATGATGATGATGATGATGAATGATGGAGAGGAGGAAGAGAAGGAGGAGGGGGAGGAGGAGGAGGAGGAGGAGGAGGAGAGGAGGAGGAGGAGGAGGAGGAGGAGAAGGGGAGGAGGATGAGGACGAGAACCTCCTCTCGACGCCCTCCGGGCTTTCTCGAAGGCTGCCGGGGGAGTCGGATCTGGGGGGGGAACCCCCCGGGTCCCCCCCGGGACCCCCCGGACCCCCCTGGGACCCCCCCAGGACCCCCCCGGGACCCCCCTGGGTCCGGCCCCCCCCCCCCCGCACCGGGGAAGGGAAAAGGGAAGGGGCTTCCTTTCGAAGTATTGACGACGTTCAATCAATTGCTTGGCACGGCATGTGCAAGGAAGATGACTCTGCTGACGGAGAGCGGGAGAACGGTGAGTGGAAGCTGGATGCGGCTAGAGAAAGTCGAGGAGGAAAGAAAGCACGACGCGAACGGAGAAGCCCCTCACACACGCCGACAGGGTCGGCGGATTTGAAGCATTTAGGGCGAGCAGGGTTTACCGTCGGGGGTCTACTGGCGGAAGAGGACCGCACATACGTAATGACCCCCCCAGCGACTTGATCCCAGCATGCGTCTCTGTCGAGATTGCAACTGGGTAGCCATGCTGTTTCCTCCGTGTCGTCCGTTACACTGGCATCTTTGGCGTGTGTATCCCATCGGGCGAGTGGTGACCGCAAAGGCGCGATCTGTCCTCCAGTGGCATGTGGGACGCGTGCAGAGCTTCGTGCGGCGCCTATGGTCCAAACTGGCCGTAGTTCCTCTGTGCTTTATGTTGCATGTGCATCCTTTGCTTGACGGCCTAAATCTTTTCTTGTGGCCACCAGGCCAGGCAACTCGCACTCGTGACAGGGTATGCTTCCTGGCGATATTGAGCACTAAGTGGGGATGCATCGAACTCCAATCGCCCACTGATCAACGATTGTTGGCCTGGTAGCTCACCCAGCCCAGGAGCGTTCGGCTGTGCAATCGGGGGCCCATCGCCGATCTGTCGGCAATGTATTGCTGATTCCTCTGAGCCGAAGAGCCTCGTGCGTCTAACATCACTAGAGGGAAGGGAAGGGAACGAAGCCTGGACGTCTGGCGGATCTCGTAGACAAGGCAAGATAAGTATAAACATAGGGTAGGTCCGTGTCGTGCCGACTCGGTACTGTAACGACCCCGCCGCGGGCGTTTAAGATTGAGCGCCGCCAGGGGCCCATAATCGGCCAACATAGAACGATCGGGCGATCGAAACGCCGCCGATTGTTCAAGCTTTAACGATCCAGGAGGTGTCAGAAACCTGCGCCGGGGCCGTCACGACGCGATCGTGCCGTAGCGGAGGAGGGGGCGGATGGTGGATGAGCAGGAGGAGGATGAGGATGAGGATGGATGAGGATGAGGATGAGGATGAGGGAGGAGGAGAGGAGGAGGAGGAGAGGAGGAGGAGGAGGAGGAGGAGGAGCACACGGAGGAGGGATGAGTATGACGGAGGAGCAGGAGGAGGAGGAAGAGGAGGAGGAGGAGGAGGAGGAAGACGAGAAAGGAGGAGCAGGAGCAGGAGCAGGAGTAGGAGTAGGAGTAGGAGGAGGAGGCGGAGGAGGAGGCGGAGGAGGAGGCGGAGGAGGAGGAGGAGGAGGAGGAGGAGGAGGAGAAGGAGGCAGCAAGGCCAGGGCCGTCACGACACGAGCCCGCCGTGAGCACAGAGCGCACAGGGCAGCCTCAACGCTGCTCCCCGCCGCTCAGGTGGCGCTCGTGGCGCTCGCTGCCGCCCTCTTCGGCGCCCGCCCGGCGGCCTCATCGAACCCGCTGGGGAAGGCCACGCCCGCCCCGCCGGCCAGCGGCCCCCTGGGGCGGCAACGCTAGGTGGGAGGACGTTGTCGTAGGATCCTGGACGTATTCCGTCAGTACCGTTCAGCTCCAGTAGGACCGAGGGTTAGAGAGTGCCTTCCTCTGCAGGACAAAAAAGAGACGTCAAGGTGGTCAAGCGCCTCGCCAGTTAAGTCGGCAAAGGTATGCAACGTCCAACCATTCGGTTTATGCCCAACATTTTAGGCTTGACGCCAGGTGTGGTGCAATAGTTTCCGCTTGACCGACCAGGTTGGTTGCGCCCCTTGACGTCCCTTTGGGGTGCTCTGCAGACCTGACCCCCCAGCCCTACTCAACGTTTAACCGACCCCTATCCCCATCCCCAACCCCATCCAGACCCCCATCATCTCAGTGCCCCAGTCGGGGATATGGGGACGTTTTCGCAGGTTCCTGGACGCGAGCATGGCCCGCGCAGTGACGCGGACCAGGGTCGACGATGACCAAGGTCGACACGACGCCTCCGCGCTCGGTCTTGGCCATATGGCCCCGTTCTCTCGACCTCCCCGTTCCAGGATCGGCCCGATCGGCCCCGATCGGCCCGATGGGTCGCCCGAGGTCCGAGCTCTATGGTTAAGTCGGGCTTGTCCCTCCAGAGGAAGAATATTCAAAAACAGTCAAAAATAGTGCGGGGACGATTTTTCAACAATTTTTTGCTATTTTTGAGTTTTTTGTTGTTTGACTGAATCTGCCTGTATAGGAGGACATGCCCGAACCAATCTTATGGCCCGAAAACCCACCAGGGATGGGACTGGGCTCCTCGGGGAGGTGGTGTCAGCGGGGGGGGATGGGCGCGGCCCCGGGCGTCAGGGGCAACGTTGGTGGGACAAGGCTCAGGGGGGTGGTGCCGAGGAACGCTAGCATGGATTCATCGGGGGGGCCCCTCGTCGCCACTGCCGGACGCGGCGCGGTAAGCTGGTGCGTTTGGACCCGGGGAGGGATTTGGGGACCAGTCTTGAGCCGATCTTGAGGTTCCAGTGTCTCAACTCGCCCTTCTCCGACAGTCGGGCTCGCTCGCTTCCATGTAGGCCTCCCGGATGGGGTCCGAGTAGATGGGGTCCGAGTAGATGGGGTCGGAGGATCGCGCCGCATCGGCGATGCATCGACGATGCATCGGCGATGCAGCTCGATGTTGAGGCAGATTTTCTCCACTCCAGGGTCGCCGACACATCGCCGACGTTGCCGACGTCGCCGATGCGTCGCTGATGCATTGGCGATGCGGCGCGATTCTCCGACTCCATCTAGTTACTCGGACCTCATCTAGGAGGCCTGAACTGAAGGCGCGTGGATTAGCAACTGGGCCCGCTTCCATGCAAAATTGGCGCGCGCGCGCTGTTGCCAAATGAGGCGGCATTAGCCTCATGTGTCGGGGGTACCTTCCCCGATCCATGTCAGCGTGCGCCCGATGGTCGGGCTTCGGAAGTTTTTTTTTTCGAAAGGTTTCGAAGCCCTGGATGGTTTCCATCAGCTGCGCCTAGTCGAGGGCGTTCAAGTGGTGCCGAGATCGTCCCGAACGGTCGCCGCAGAGCCGAGTTTGGATCCGAAAACCAAGGGGCAACGTTAGGGTGGGATAGGCTCATGGGCAGATGTATGGACCATTCGTGGTATGTCGGTGCTGCCATCTTGTCCCCGCGGGCCAAGGTCCACTACGTGCGTTTGCAGATTGCAGGTCGGCGCACGTTGTGCTCCTGGTTTGCCTGGCGTGCTGTAGTTTCACTTGAATCCCCGGTGGAACAACAACACAACAGCAACACCAACAACAACACCAGCAACAAGGGCAATAACAACAACAACATCAACAACAACGCCAACACCAGCAACAATTGCAAGAGCAACAGCAACAGCAGCAAATCATCTCGTATTGATCGCCGATAGGGGCCCGATAGCCCCCCACCCCCCCCCAGGACGATGCGGATCCGCTAGCGGGGGCCTATCGCCGACCTGCCGGCGGTGTATCGCCGATTCCAGGTCGAGGATTCCCCCCCTGAGCTGTCCCCTCCTAGCATCCCCCCTCACGGATGGCGGTGGCCTTCAGTCGACTGCACGTGACGTACAGTCGCCTCGAGGCCACTGCCGTACCCTGAGATCCTGGCGTCTCATTTTCATCGAGCCGCGCGTTTACGGCTGGTCTTGGGCCCCAGGACCCTCACATATCGAGCCGGCTTGAATGATGGCGCGGAGAGATGGGGGTCCGGGGCTTTAGTCGTGATTTTTCACGATGTTACATTTTTTCAGTACGTCTGATCTCAGGGTACTCTATCCGTAAGGGCTTCGCCCCCTGCCGCCGGCCCCCTCTCTCGGAGAATGGGTCATGGAAGAGCTAAGTCATGAGGCCTTGGCGCTGTCGTGAAGCAGTATCGAAACTTCATGCGAAGCCGATTCGCAATCAGCAAAACCAACTGATCACAAGAGGGGTTACCACACCTGGCGATTGGTAAGACGTGTATGGTTTACGGGCTTGGTTACCACACCTTGCGATTAAAGAGCCGAGGGAGTTCTCGCAGTTTGGGTTACCACGCCTTGCGATGGATGTGCGTGAGGGGTCGCACCGAATTCCAGAAATGTGGCAAATCCCCTGTGTTTTTGGACCCTGACCCCGCGGATCTGCGTGAAGGGGTGGCACCGAATTTCAGAAATGTGGCAAATCCCATATGTTTTTGGACCCTGACCCCGCGGATCTGTGTAAGGGGTCGCACCGAATTCCAGAAATGTAGCAAATCCTTTGTGTTTTTGGACCCTGACCCCGCGGATCTGCGTGAGGGGTGGCACCGAATTTCAGAAATGTAGCAAATCCCATATGTTTTTGGACCCTGACCCCGCGGATCTGCGTGAGGGGTGGCACCGAATTTCAGAAATGTGGCAAATCCCATGTGTTTTTGGACCCTGACCCCGCGGATCTGCGTGAGGGGTGGCACCGAATTTCAGAAATGTGGCAAATCCCATGTGTTTTTGGACCCTGACCCCGCGGATCTGCGTGAGGGGTGGCACCGAATTTCAGAAATGTGGCAAATCCCATGTGTTTTTGGACCCTGACCCCGCGGATCTGCGTGAGGGGTGGCACCGAATTTCAGAAATGTGGCAAATCCCATGTGTTTTTGGACCCTGACCCCGCGGATCTGCGTGAGGGGTGGCACCGAATTTCAGAAATGTGGCAAATCCCATGTGTTTTTGGACCCTGACCCCGCGGATCTGCGTGAGGGGTGGCACCGAATTTCAGAAATGTGGCAAATCCCATGTGTTTTTGGACCCTGACCCCGCGGATCTGCGTGAGGGGTGTCGATTTCGAGCCCCCCCAGCAATTCAGACAACGCGCCCAGGGGGTGCTAAAAATCCTGTTTGGGCCTCCCCCTCCCTCGCGCGGTCAATCAACTAGTTACAGTAACCAGCAAGAAGCAGAACTGTAACACTGGAAACTACAAGCTACAACTGGTACTGGAAACTGCGAACCCGCGCCTCGCAGCCTGGTGGCCCCACAAGGGGGCCGGCGGATTATTGAGGTTCGCTCGGGGCGCCAACTCTTGTCTGCAGACTGCCGCACCAGCAGGCTGAGAAAGGGCGATGGGGGGAGCGGGAGGGAGTGAGGGATGAGGAGGAGGAGGAGGGGGAGGAGGAGGAGGAGGAGGAGGAGGAGGAGGAGGAGGAGGAGGAGGAGGAAGAGGAGGAGGGGAGAGGAGGGAGAGCGGGAGGAGGGCGAGTGGGGGTGGGGAGGAGGGAGGGAGGAAAAGAGAGGGAGGAGGATGAGGGAGGAGGACGAGGGCGCCGGATGAGCCAGGGGAGGAGGGCGGGAGGAGGAGGGGGGGAAGAGGGCGAGTGGGGAGGTCAAGCTAGGGCCGCTCGCGTGTGACGTCCTACCCCGCACTCCCATCCCTGACCATTGCGTAGATCCCCTTCCTTCACCGATGCAGTGGGCCACTGGGGCGGACTGTTGTTACCTCCTGGGGGTGAGGTACCCCCCCACCACCGAGATAGTTCCTGCGTTCGCGCGGGCCTTTAGCCCGTTCGGCCGGCTGAAGTAATCCCGTCGTCGGTTTGGCCGCTGCGTCGGCCCGTGGTGCTCCGAGAAGGCTCGCTCAAGGCGCTTCGCCCGCTCTCGGCATACTACACTTTCATTTTGCCCGCGACGTACGCGGGCCGGGACACACCGGACGCTGGCCTCAACCATTCCGGGTGCCCATCCTTTGGAGTCGGCAACATGCAGTGGCTTCCACTTCGTCGCCCGTTGGGACGGCGGCTTCTGACCCCCTTTCACATGGGCGTGTTGACAGTACGGTCGGCCGCTTGTCGGCATCGGCGGACAAGGACATCGGTCAGGCACCGTTCTGGCGCTTGTGTTAGACGTCGGCTACAGTCACAGGAGTGCCTTCGGGATGCGCAAGCCGCACACCGCCTTGGTACCAGGGACCATCGCGGGCGCTCTCCTTTGTGGTCGGCCATCTCCAGGCATTGGCCCGAATCCCCTTCAGCGGCGTACAGTTTGGCCGACGTTCCAAGTGAGTGAGTGGTTTTGGCACCTTCCGCCTGGCAGTCTGGTCCCACCTGCGGGTCCGACCTTTCCGCCCTCCCCACCCTCGCTGGCACACGCTCAGCGGCTGGTACTTCCCATTTGCATCCTTCGCTGGCACATGTTAGCGTTGTTAATTTTCTGCTGCTGGCACATGCTCAGCTGCTTCTTCTCGGCCGGCACTTGTGCTGCGCCGTTAATTATCTGCCTTCCCGTGCGCTGTGTCCCAGCCTCGTTCACACCGCCCTCTGGATTTTTCCTTGCGGGCCGCGAATCAAAAAAGTAGATCCCCTTCCTAGTCTCGCGCACACGGACGTGTGGAGGAGGGGTGAGGTGCAGGAGAGCGGGAGTGTCACCGGGTCGACGAGGCGGTGACGCCTGCGCTGGCGTTGAAAAGACTGCAGGCCACCAGTGGCCCGAGCCAGGCCAACCTTGAGAGGTCCCCGCTCTC